TCAGCAATATCTCATCAGATTCAAAGTCACTACTTAAAAATTGTGAGTTTTTTAGGGGGGTGGGGCATGTTTATAGGCAATTTTGTTAAACATGATTGAGAAATTGATCGAAGCGTTTGTGAGAATGACTGAACCTTGCGCACTAGGGTAGGGGAGTGGCTTCATGAAGGAAAGGGGGAGTAGGTTGATCTCATGGATGTTTTGTGTAAAAAAAAAACCACACTCTTTATCTACGCCGCTACATCTCTTCTTTCCTCCTGCCACAAATACTAGATCAGCACAGACGAGGAATTTCAAATATAGGCGCAATCTTTTTCTGTTGCCGTTTCCATGGTAACCAAAATGAAATTGGCATGTCTGGCTTGTTGCATTACCTTTCAGACAAGTGCTTCAAGTTATATCCCGGCCTCAGTGTAGCCGCGATTTGGTGGGTGATCGTGCCTCGATCCTTGCATTTAGAGGGGCACGTTATCTGTTATACAAGGTGAAAATTAGGCACATGCTTTTTATCATGAAGCCAGTTTACAGACTGCATCTTCTATGAAGGCTGGTACGCAATGACGGTGTAGCAGAGCTGTAGCCGCAACACTGTCGTATCGGCCCCCATTTCGAAATTCATCCACTGCACTGCCGATAATATAGCAACATAAAAACGTCTATACATTCATAATACATATGTCCACGTGCTAATTTGATTACTTATTCATACATTACTCGCATTGTCTACCTCACGAGGCGCGTGCATTGATCTTTGCAGATGGAATTCTGTCACGGCCCATTATCTAGGTCACTCCTTTGGGCCCAATTGCACTGGGACCAGCATTTCATCAGCAAGGTCTCGTGTGGAAGTTTCCCCCTCACCCCACCCCAGCAGCTGTCAGACAATTTTTGCTATAATATGTGCACGTGTGCTCAACAAGCATGATGCGGAGGAATGAAGGCAGGGCGAAGTACCGTGCATGCATCATTACACACGCCCACGCATACAGATCACATTGATCCCATCCCACCGCATTTTATTTGTAAGCAAGTGTCTCTGAGATGCAGCTTCACTGGTTATAGTTGGCGACATCTAGACACTGTAGAAGCAGTGGTCAGGTGTATGTCTGTATTTAAGGGGTTGTTCAGTTGGAATTGAAGGAGTGAACTTTACGACTAGTTCATTGTAGGATTAGGCAGCAGTGGTAGAGGGAAGGTGTTGACGGAGTAGTCTGAGAATGATAGTGCAGCTAGGCTGGTGACTGGCACCGGCTGCTAAGTGACACATGGCTTCCCCGGGGACCAGAAGGAGCAGTGATGCACGGCAAAATCGTATAGGGTTCCAGTCTAGAAAATCTGGGCGAGTTTTTTTGTTCTTTAATTTTCTGCTGTAGTTTAGATTTATGGTCAGACACAGTATGCCGGCCTATTGGTTGTGAGCCGCAGGGTAGCAGAAGCGCTATATAATCTACAGCTGGTGTGACTAAGTGGTAGGTTACATAAAGGCATGCTGGAGAGGGGGGGGGGGTATTATGCATGGTAAACTATACATATCGCTGGCTTAAATTAACCATGATGGGCACTTGCATATTAATTTGGCTCAATTTATGACAGAGGAGAACTAGAGAATGGAACACGGTATCTATGTTATGACATCATTGCACTGGATTTGGTCTCTGGATTTGTTTCAATACGGTGCAATTATGAACTGGTTAATTGGCAATGTGAAAGTGTAATATGGTGGTGAATATAAGGGTAAGCTGGTTGCTTGAAGCTTGGCACTGTGAACCTTGAGAGTGTGCATGTGCACATCAGCTTGACTGCCAGGTAATTGTGTTAACTAGATGGCTTCTTAGGTTGATATGCACCAATGCAAACCATAATCATCTGTGGCATTACAGACCATCAATACCATAGAAAGCATCTCTATCATTGCAAATCATCCATAGCATTAAGAATCGGGTAGTAACATGAAGGAAATGGTGCTTTTGCTTGTGTGTGTATGCTCCCCAGATAACATGCTGAAGTTGGGCCAACGTTGGCCCAACGGCTGTCTTTAGCCCATGCCAACGTTGGGCATACGTTGGCCCAACGGATTTTTGCTCGGCGGACCAACGTTGGCCCAACGTCATATTGCCAACGTTGGCCCAACGTCATATTGCCAACGTTGGTCCAACGTCATTTTGCCAACGTTGGCCCAACGGATTTTTGCTCGGCGGGCCAACATTGGCCCAACGTTGGCCCAAGGGATTGCTCTGCCCTCAGCGCGCCAACGTTCGCCCCAACGTCATAATTGCCAACGGTTGGGCCAAGCGTCAGACAGCCAACGTTGGCCCAACGGATTTTTGCTCAAAGTGCCAACGTTGATTCCCCCTCACTACAGCTCTTGTTGTGCTTCTCTCTCTCTCTGCTCACACGACACACACGCGCGCAGCACAGACCCTTCTTCTCTTCTCTCTCATCTGACGACATACTACACTCCACTCTTCTGGTCACCTTCCAGCCTCTCTCTCTCCTACCTCTGCACTCAACATACACAGGCTGACACGTGCGCCGGCGCACCTCTCTCTCCCCCTGCTGACACAGTACACACTTCCTGCTCTGAGCTCTCTCTTCCTTCTCTCACGACACACGACACACCACACCAACAGCCACCATCACACACACACACACACACACACACCACACACGCCACACCTCTCTCTCAGACAGCATGACCACAATACCTCTCATGTTCTCTCTCTCTCTCACCACACACACGCGCGGCGCGCACACACACACCTCTCTCTCCTCTCGTCTCTTTTCTCTGAACATACCACAACTCCGCCTGCTGGTTCTCTCTGCTCTCTGTGCGACACACATCAACACAAACACGGCACACCTCGTCTCTCGTCTCTCTCTGCTCTCTCTCTCTCTCTCTCTCTCTCTCTCCTCTCTCTCTCTCTGCTTCTATCACACACACACACGCGCGCGCACACACACACACAACCACAAATACCGACACGCATCTCTCTCTCTACTCTCTGCACACAGACACACATTACACACGCGCCACATCTCTCTATCTATCACACACACATCGCGCGCTGCACACCTCTCTGGTTCACTCTCTCTCTCTCTCTACTTCACACACACAACACAAACACGCACACCTCTCTCTTCTCTTCGCCACACACGACGACGCACCGCTCTCTCTCTCAGACTCATACGAACACTCCCCGCTCAGGGTCGCTCTTCTCACAACACACCACACACACACACACATCAACGACACACAGACACACATGCACAACACACACACAGCACAGCACACAAAGCACACAACACACACACACACACACACACACACACACACACACACATACACACGCGCACACCTCTCTCTCAGACACATACACTCTCCCTCTCTGGTTTTTCTCAGATTTGTGAGCACACCAAAAGCGTAAGTTCCAGTTAACCAAGATGTCATTGCTTGTTTGATCAGTGATCAGGTGCTAGGTACCAGGAGTCTCTTTGTTTCGTAGCGTGCGTATTAGCCATATGCACGCACAGGGGATGGGGAAGAACCTTGCTATGTGCTGACGTGTTTTCGAACGGGTTTTTGCCGCGTGGTTTGATGGGATCGGCTGCTTTCCTTGGCGGCGTAACAGATATAAAAGAAACTCAGCCTACTCTGCTGCCCACAAACTACCAAACAAAATCGACTGCCCTGATCTATGCAAGTCCGGTAGGACCGCATAGAAAATTTATTTTACATCAGTCAAAGCTATTTATCACACCTATAATATCGTCATATATATATAATAAATATACGTATGTTTTATTTATTTATATATATATATATACATATATATACATGCAACTTGGAGTCCGAGGTGGAGGAGTGTGGCACAGAATCCCAGAACAGCAGATAAGAAGGACAGCATCACTGTCGTTAGTGGGCCTTGGCTCATTTCAAACGACTTTGAGATCGATTGCGGAATACTGTAGTGTGTGGGTTCCCACAAAGGTGTGCTTCTTGCAGTAAATTGTACACCTGTGGATTTATGAATGTTGGCTACCCAAATTCAGACCAGGAAAAAACAAGGTTCCCAATATGATTTATAATTAAACTTGTAAAATTACATGTATTGCTGAGCCATTGCAACTTCCAAGTCGCAGCACTACATTGATTGGTTGCCTGCTGATCACGAGAGGATTGGATTGTATGTAGTGGTGTCAAAAAGTTCATAGAATTTCTAGATTTTATATAGTATATATTTATCTATGTGTGTGCGCGCGTGCTCTCACTATCTCTATCTCTCTCGCTCTTCTCTACCTATCTACGTCCTCACCCTTCTCCTCCTCCACCACCTACTCTACTTCTCCTCTATCTCATCCATCCTCGACCATCTTCTCCTCATCATCCGCTTCCTCTCCGCCCCTTCATTTTTATCTTAAACACATTTTGCCTGCCTTCTCGCTGTTTCTTTTCTTCTATATACTTTCTTCGTGCTCTCCTCCATCTCAAATTTCAAATTCCAGTTACCACATTCCCCCTATCTCGCATCTCTTTCTCTCCCACCTCCTGTTCTCGCCTCTTTCATTTTTGAGGTTTACTATTTGTGACCAATTCCCCTGTGACCATTGTTCACGCTGGGGATATGAATTCTAGATTATACAGTGTGCTACAGTCGTTAAGTGTAAAGCCCCCACTCGTTTACCAACAAGTTCACACCTACACGCGACGGACTGACAACATACACGCAGGGACGCTGAGTTGCGCCACGAGAGAATTACTCCTGCGATTTTTAGACAGGGAGACCAAGAGTAGAGTGTATATATAATATATATATATAGATATATATGTTACTAATCTAGCTATAGGTATAATGCCCTGCAACACAAATGTTGTAGTGCACCATGGTGCTTGTGCTGTAACAATTTATAACATGCCACGGCACCCGTAAACTAGTATTAAAATGAGAACCCTTTGTAACTATACAGAGATGCCAACACTTTTCTGAGCAAACTGTAGTGAGGATGTCTGATATCTGTAGTCCGAGGGTCACGCAGTGATCCGAGTATGCTAGGGGGGTTGGGGGCATGCCCCCATAAATTTTTTATTCCTGCATTCTGAGACCCAAAATGACAATAAGTTCACACTGATATTTGCTGCTAAATACATGTAGTTATTTTCAATCATGTTATATCAATGTAACACTGAAACAAAACGTTCTAAAAATCGTAGTTGTATGCAAACTGGTGGTAGTGGTCAAAATGCAAACGAAATTCGCATAAAATACTGATAAATCGTAGGGGTTGGCATCTCTGATTATAGCATCATGCCAATCATACGCCAACATATGTGTTAATACGCCAATATATATGTTACTAATCTAGCTATAGGTAATGCCCTGCAACACAAATGTTGTAGTGCACCATGGTGCATGTCCTGTAACAATTTATAACATGCCACGGCACCCGTAAACTAGTATTAAAATGAGCACCCTTTGTAACTAGTATCATGCCAATCATACGGCAACGTTGGCCCAACGTCATGCAGCCAACCATTTGCCAACCGTGACCATGCTAACTATACGCCAACGTTGGCCCAATGTCATGCAGCCAACCATTTGCCAACCGTGACCATGCCAACCATTCGCCAACGTTGGCCCAACGTCATGCAGCCAACCATTTGCCAACCGTGACCATGCCAACCATACGCCAACGTTGGCCCAACGTCATGCAGCCAACCACTTGCCAACCGTGACCATGCCAACCATACACCAACGTTGGCCCAACGTCATACAGCCAACCACTGCCAACCATGACCATGCCAACGTTGGCCCAACGTTGGCCCAACGTCATATTGCCAACCGTGACCATGCCAACCAAATGCCAACGTTGGCCCAACGTAAGCATGCTATCTGGGTCGGTACTGCACTGTTTAGTATGATTGAGAACACGTCTGCATGTTTAGGTTGCTGGACGTACAACGCCATGGAACCGTGCACGAAGGACACCTGCATCTCGAAGACGGCGGCGAATCGCTACGGCATCGACAAGACGAAGTTCTGCTGTTGCGTAGGGCATATGTGTAACAGGAACTACTCTGATGGCTATGTGCCAGATGCCTCTACGTCTCAGCCTGTCATCACAAACACAGGTGTGTACACTGCACATAATAAACACTGGTCTGTCACCATTATGGCTGCAGACCTCTGGTCTGTCACCATCATGGCTGTTGATCTCTGGTCTGTCACCAACATGACTGTAGACCTCTGATCTGTCACCATCATCATGGCTGAAAGATGACTGGTCTGTCACGATCATGACTGTAGGTCTCTGGTATGTCACCATCATGGCTGAAAGACGACTGGTCTGTCATCATCATGGCTGCAGCCCTCTGGTCTGTCACCATAATGGCTGTAGACCTCTGGTCTGTCACCATCATGGCTGCAGCCCTTTGGTCTGTCACCATCATGGCTGTAGACCTCTGGTCTGTCACCATCATGGCTGCAGCCCTTTGGTCTGTCACCATCATGGTTGTATAGAATGTTGGTCTTGAATGAGCACAGATCCCAAAGCAATCGCTTTAGCACTGTTGTAGGTTTTCAAATTCGTTTCTTCAATGACATGTAATCTTACTCATCAATACCCACGAATGTGATACGTTCCCAGCATAGCAATCTGATCCCAAAGACGTATGAAAACTAAGAAAACCTCTTAGACAAATTGATGTCAGGCATGTAAAAAACAAGTGACATTTTGAGATTTCTCGTGAACTAACAGTCGACAGTCGGTGAGCTGCGGATTCGGCTTACTGCCATGTTTGTCTCTTTTGGGCATAGACATATATTCTTCATAAGTAATAGGCAGGGCAGTGTACTCGGTGATTGGCAATGCATCGTGTAGTTTGAGAAATCTTTGTATGAAGATTCACTAGTCAAAGCTGATAGCTGCCAGTTTAGTTGAGAACATTATATGAGTCTTAGTAAATACTTGCTCTGGCTTTGCCGTAGACTGACTGCTAACTTTATTGCTAGTTATAACTAATCATTTTATTATAGTTCTGCACTGTTATCTGATCGACTCGCGACAAGGTGAAATAAATAGTTAGCCTGTAAAATAGCACAACTCATATAGTCACTCCAATGAAAAATTGCTGCCAATAAAGGCTCTACAGGTTGATGATAAATGATGTTATAGTTTACACCGTGATATAAGAAGAAAGGTAGTAATAATATGCTGCAATATAAAGTTAAGATAGGCATTGTCAGTGCTCATTAATGTTAGTCGATGTGCGATCTCCCCCTCCCCCCTTTGAGTTAAAATATTTGTACGTTCAGTCGTTCAGTCGTAAGCACTGTTTTTAGCTCGATTTTGTACTCATGGCAACTAATGATAAAACTATTGGAGATGGGCAAAAAGTGTCACTTTAAAAATGAATCTATAGCAACAACGTCCATCACTCCTGACAACCAAGAATCTAGCACCCCTCAACCATGTGTTGCATGACTAAGGTGTTATCAGAGAGCACTCAAATGAGTGGAAGCTGATTCCAATTTACCAAAGTTCTCTTTCCCATGCAACCAGCATTTTCTCCGTAGTTAACGCGAGGTAAAGATAACTTAGTGTAATTACCAATTTTGTACTGAACGGAACTGTTAGGGTACTAGCCAGGATGCAAAAGTAAAAAAACTTGCATTTTTAATCTGTTCTTTATTGTGTGTGTGATTTGTTTCCAACATTAGGGAGAAGCCGGCATAGCTATAGAGAGAGGACCATCATCATAGCACTGAGCACTGTGGTTGGTGTTGCCATCTTCATCGCTGTCGCCTATCTAGGTATGAATAGAGCCAGATAATGATATAAGCACCTTTACTCACTTGTTCAAACTCGATTTTCCATTTTCCATTTGTAGTTAGGTATAATAATACTTTGCTAGGATCTATAAGAGCTATATTTTTCCAATGCTCTATTTTGAGAATGAGGAGTGGCGATACTACAACATTGTTAGGCATAAAATGCATTTTTGGGTCAAATTTTCAGCCAACTAAATGACCTAGAGCTTATGATCTAGTAGTGATCTTGTGGAATCTTGTGGACACACCTATAATTCAGTAGGGAATATATGGGAAAAAGTTAGGTATTAATTTTCACTGAAATGCGTAACAGATAAAAGTATTGTTAGTATATAAACGATTTTTGTTCGGTTGAATAAAACATGTAACTGTGACATCAGGACAAACTGTTAATTGTATTTAAATATACAGTTGCTGAAATATTCTTCCATTACATAAAGGATCTTTCCACAATTGATTTAAACATGCAACTAGGGCATCTGGAAAAAGGCCCCTTTCATATATAAACCATAAAATACAAGTGAAAACAAAGGCTGCTTAGCTGTAATATAACGTATTATTAGCTACAGTGGTACCGGTTGCCTACTGTAGGCAACTTATGGAGGGAGGGGGGGGGGGGTTATGAGCCCACAGGGGGCCGAAATATCACATGTAAGATGCAGGAAGATTTTTTGCATTTTTTAAAATGTGTATTTTTTGGCCATAAATACGGTAGGTGACGTTGCTTTCCTCGTTAAAATTTGGAATACTTGTTAAACCGCGTATTTTAAAGGCACATGGCTGCGAAGGAATTGAATAGTCGAATCAGATAACTCAATTTCTTGTGCATACAAAAATAATAATTGTTTGCATGGTGGTAGGTGTTAGCATTTTTCAAATACAGCAGCAAAAGCCAACTCATAAGGAGCTAAAACTGTATTTCTGTAATGTGAATGAATTTGCCAGCAACAAATAGTGGGAATGTTTGGCCAGCCACCAGCTGTATCACGCCATGTTTGCATTGCAAATCAGTGACGTCTTAAATAAATGTACTCATTAGACATTCCCGCAAGAAATGGAAATCCAGAGTAGACCAGTATATTGCCGCTGTGTTACATCTATGGACGATTTTTGATTTTGATTTGTTGATTTTATTGTCTCATTGCAGTTTGTAGGTTATTTATGATGTACAGAAAGAGACAGCCTGATGGCTTGAACTTGATGGAGGCACCCTCTTCTGGCGCAGCGCCGAATTTCGACCTTGATGAATTGAAGCTAACAGAGTTGTTGGATAGGGGAAGGTAAATAGAATGATAAACTAAGAAACCTTCGATATTATTATATAAGTAGTCATTTCACTGAAAATACGTTGGATGACTTCTATGAACTGCGTGCCTATCAATTTCGTGTATACAAATGGTTTGTAGATTAATCTAAATGCACAGCTCAACATTTAATGTAATCATTCACGATGTCGTGACGAACAATGCGGTAACGACGTCTACAGTACATTATTAGTGAGGCTGCCACATTCTACAAAGTTTTCTATTTAATAGATACTATAATTACTATGGCTAATAATACTCTGCATAATATCAACAGGATATATCTACTGACACAGCAAGGGTATATCAACAAGGTTTATCCATAAGCCATAAGATTCCCATTTGTGTGTTAGCATATTTTACAGCCTCTCTCTAGTCAAACTACTATAAACGTTTTATGTATACCAGCATGGCTATGTAGTGTCAACCGCAAGGTGCATTTTTGAAAAATCCAAAAAGCTTTGTAAGATGTTCCTTTCAAAGAAATATCATGCACAGCACTTCTCTAAGGCAGAATGACGTTGGCTTTGGGAACTGTTACAAGCTTGCAAATCCCTTGCTCGTTATCAATAATTTGCGTTTCGAATGCATATGGGCTGAGCTACGTATGTGGAAGCAGGGTCTTATAGATGCTGACAGCCATGTCAGATCTAAGTCTATCCATCACCACGGGAACGAACTTGCTTTTACAACTGCAGCTCAGCACATGTGCAGGAGATATGTGAACGACCGATGACAAGTAGTTTTTTACTACTGATCGTTAACACTGCCGAGTCTGCGTGGATGGACCGATATGTAAATAAATTCTCCATTGGAAGCTTTGTGATTTTTTGTCAAAGGGCAATAGCTAAATATGTACAGCTAGTGATAATACAGCTATCTTATTACGTTAATATCTGACAAAAAATTTAGGGCCAAGATATGTGTATGGGATTGCAGGTGGTAGGCATAACGTTCATAAAGGACTTGGAGAATAAGCTGAACCTTATTAGTTCAATTATCAGTTTTATTAATTTAGTCTACTACGTGCTCCGTGAACTGTAGTAGCTTATATGCACCTATGACAGCGGTAGTGATGCTGATAATGGCGATAACTATAATGATGTTGATGACAGTAATTGGAATAATAATTGTAATAATAAACAATAACAACAACAACAACAGCAATAAGAATAACAAGCGAGTAGGCCTATACAACCGTTTTAGTAATTGTTTCTGACTTCGTCTTGCTGTTGCGCAGGTACGGCCAGGTGTGGAAGGGCACGCTCTACGACCATGATGTTGCCATCAAGGTATTCGGAGCCCATAACCGGCATTACTTCCACAACGAGCGTGACGTGTACTCGCTGCCGCACATGGAGCACGACAGCTTACTACATTACATCGGTGCTGACGAGTGCAAGACTGCAGACGGCGGCAGCATCGGTACGTACATTACGTTGCATGTCAAGCTAGTCGGCTGGTGTCTCCAGGCGGACTCTGCGCTAGTTTGCAATGTCTCATCTTGTGTCATCCGTGTGATCGCTGTCTGTCTGATGCCTGATCAAGTGAACGGTTTGTCTACTTATGTAGCCCGCTTTTTAGCTGTGATAACAGTGTTACACCAAGCTAAGTTCTTTTCAGCCCCCCTGGGGGTAGTGTTGGTACAGCTTGGTGCACGATAATGGTAATTCCTGTCAGTCTCCTAATTTCATGTTATACCTGGTCAGGTTTCATTCTTCTTAGTCCCTCGCCATGCATTATCCCTGCCACGCCTAGCGTTTTGTCACACACGGTCATGGTCGTCACTGTCAATGACGCTCCTGACATACCTGGTCAGGTTAGTTACATGTATTTTATCCTGTCAATGTATTGTTATATATACGTAATCAGGGTTAGTACATATTGCCCGCTAGCATATTATCAGGAGTGAATAATAATAACAGATCTATTATTATTCACTCCTGATATTATTAATACCCAGTGGTGGTCGTCCATGTCAGTGTTGCTGCTATGATGTCGTACCGACTACCTAGTCATCGTGCATTGTTATACCTGGTTGTCATACAATCCTATCACCTAACATATTGTTATACCTGAGCAGGTGTTACACTCGTTAGGCCCTGGATATGGTCCATCTGTGTTGAATCGGTTCTAGGACAAATACCCCCCGGACAATCACCCCCCGGACAATTACCCCCGGACAATTACCCCCCATGCCATTCACCCCCCGGACAATTACCCCTTGGACAATCACCTACCGGACAATCACCCCCCGGACATTTACCCCCCGGACATTTACCCCCCGGACATTTACCCCCCGGACAATTACTCACTTGTTGTTTATTATTCATTGTTGAACAGTGATACAGGGAGGAGGTCAAGGAGGAGGGAAGAAGGTGGGGGAAGGGGAGGAGGGGGAGAAGGTGGGGAGAAGGTAGTGGAGGAGGAGGAGGGGGAGAAGGTGGAGAGAAGGTGGTGGAGGAGGTGGGGAGAAGGTGGTGGAG